GTATAAATTATTTGTCAATTGTAGTGTATAACAGATTCGATATAAAAAAAATTCACCTATTACGCGTTAGATAATCTACTGCTCTTCACGTTCTTTTAGGAGTACATTTGCTTTTCACTTCTCTGATATTATGTAATATTTATCATCTGGCAGCTACTATTATCGTACTAACAGAATAACTCGAGTTATTTTGATGATGATTGCATCATCACATAACTTCGTCGGTTGATAATGACGCAATCATAATCATCAAATAACTTCGTTATTTGATAACGACGCAATCATCATCAAAATAACTAGTCATTCTGTTGGTTCGGTATCTGGATAAGGGTTCCGGACAATCCCGACAGGTCATAATCCCGACAAAAAAATCCCGACAATTAAAAATCACGGCAGTCAGAATTTTAAGTAGAAAATCCCAAATATGGGGTATGTTTAAAGCGAAGTAGACTCTTATAATTTCATTAACTTTAGGGGTAGGTCACTTTAGATAAGTGTTAGGCCAGAATTAGCTATGAGTTATGATATTTTTTATCAGAATTTTTAATTGTCGGGATTTTTAACTGTCGGATTTTTGCTTGTCGGGATTTTTGCTGTCGGGATTTTTGCTGTCGGGATTTTTTTTGTCGGGATTATTACCAGTCGGGATTTCGCTTGTCGGGATTTTGACCCAAACCCCCTGGATAATACCGTTATTGAATGCTACGCAGCCAATAAATTGTTTATCTGGCAGCGAATTTAATATGGCATTCCTGGGCCCTTTCGGGGCCCAGAAGCTGACTTATTAAATTTCACAGTCAGATAATGGTGTATTTTTCAAATAACTCCCATTATTAACTGCTTTGCATCCAATAACTCTATATTATTGCTTTTATTTTTTTCGTGTTAACCTAGGTGTGTATAAAGAATATTATTGATCAACGTTTTAAAATAGGCTATTTAGGTTTATAACTATCTAACATTAATTTTATTTTATTCGTGTTATATTAAGTAAATAAAAATTTGTTTAAAATAGGCTATTCAAGTTCACATTTACTATTTAATTTTATTTTATTCGCATTGTTAATAACAGTAAAGGATTAAGATATAATAAACTTCGTTTTGGGTCCAATCCATTAACCGTTTATCCATATATCCGTAATCCCGTAATCCGTTATCCAAGTATCCGATCGAAATTTACTTGCCGGAACCGGGATCACCATGTGATCGTCGCTTGCTAATGCATCACTGCTTAGCCGCTTTTCGATCTGTTGACCTACTGTCAACTTGAATTAGATTCTTTTACTTTTTATTTTATAATTTCAAAAAATATCTATTAATCATATTAATATGTTTTGACTCTGATTAATATGTTTTAACCATTTTTGTCACTCACCTATCTACAGGTTTCCGAATGTAGCTTACTACGACGGTTAAATCATGGGATAATGCCTCGCTGTCACGTGTCTACCAGCTTTTGCCTAGGATCGGGAAGTGTCTGTAAATGCTAGGAGGACGGAGAGAGAACATAAGTATTTTAAATCGTTCGGGTTTTCTAAGATGGGGGACGTCTAAACAATATAAACTCCGTCCTGAAGAGGACGAGCTACAGACTGTTTTCATAATAATGCATATGACCCGTCAGGTCATGCTGCATACAGAAATTCTGTTCGAATTAATCTATCATTGAAATATATCTTTCCCAAGTATTCTAAACTAGATATGGATTGTGCATTAACTACGAAAATTTGGGTTACAGGTTTCTCCCAAATGCATTTGATCCGTTAGATCAAGCTGCAACTAGAGTAATAATACTGATTCAGCAGTACTACGAACAGCTGCTGCTCGTTAGGGGGGGTGGGAAAGGGTCAAATAAGCTAGACTTTTAAAGTCGAACACAGCAAAGCATAAATCTGAGAAAACAAACAAACAATTGTAAAAGCTATAAATAGCTTAGTAATGATCGACACCTGATCTTAGTGTAACACTCAACAATGGTCAAGTCGACCTGGGTAACAGATGTCGATCCCTAGATGATCGTACGTTCGTGAAAAAAGGGCTACTCGTGACTTTGTCTCGAGTAGCCAGAAAAATGAGTGTATAAAAGTTCCAGGTTACATTTCTGCGATTATAAAACTTATACCTATAGTATAGTGCACGGTTACATTGGTGTCTAAATTACTAAGGATTTGGACTTTTCGAAATCGCAGATATTATTATAGTTGCCATTATTATTATTATAAGTTTCTGATATTATTATTGACTATCGAAGGTTGCTAAATTATTATTAGTAATAAACGGTGGTGTTCATAGGATTGGCCTTCACAATTAATATATTAGTTCTAAAGTTAATAAGAAAGTTAGTACAGTAATTTGTAATAAGTTATAATGAAAAATTGACTGTTAATATACGAATAAATTGAAAGTGTTAATTTTAAATTGGCATCGTGGTAAATTTAAATTCTTGTTTAAACCAACGCAAAATTGTATAGTTTCGCTCATACGTATACCGCAAGTTTAATTAATTGACAAAATGAACAATACCTTGGAATAAATTGCATAAGATAAACAAGGTTTCTACATAAAGTACTATATTATGATGTACGAATGGATTACAATTGGATTACAATGGATACCATACTCACGTGTACATCGTAAAACACGAAAATCACATGTAGATTTAAATAAACTATCAAAATCGACCCAAATAATACTCACCCACTGGTTAACTTTGAGGATTCAAATCAGTCAATGAATTAGCATTTGCAGATTTCAATGTATCATTAAAATTAAATCGAGAAAAACCTCTACATTGTTTGGAAAATCTAGTGGATTAATTGAAATAATAAAATATTTGAATATATAAAAGACGCACAGAGATTCGGAAGATTATTGTAAATTAATTAAGTGGGATGGTGATAAAGTTTTGATATAGTTTATTTTGCCCAAAAAATTGAATTAATATCAGCTCGTAAACACACTACAGCATTAACAGGGTTGCTCTTAAAAGTTTAAATAAGGCTCAAAATATTTTGAGTCTTTTAAATAAGGCTAAAATGCAGTGAGTCTTTTAAATGAAGACAAAAAGCAGTAAATAAATAAATTAAATTTTTGTAATGAATGCTGGTGACCCAAGGGAAAACTCGGTTCTGGGTTTTAAGTATGTTTTTTATCGGGCTAAACTCCTGATAAATTTGGTTAGCTGAGTCCGATCAGAAATAAACTTAAAAGTCGGTTTCCCTTGACATCACTTATATAATCTTATTAACAAATTTAATCTTAAGTTCTTATCCTGACTAAAAAAAAAAATGTACTTCAAAAAATTTCATCAACTAATTTCATCATCAACCATGAATATATGCTGAGATGAAATGAACAAGTTTTAGCAATATTACAGTATTGGCTTTCAGTATACGTAAAATACGTAAAAATTTTCCTGTCATTTATAACAAATTTTTGTATGTATTTATGCATGTCAAATTATAAATACAAACATTAAACGTCACAATACAATATTTTACCAACGAATTAAAGCACTGAATTCATGTGTGATATTGCATTTGGGTTGTTGCCCAGCAAAACCATGCTTAGAGTATATAAAAAATATATACTCTAAGCATGGTTTTGCTGGGCAACAACCCATTTGTGTTCCATACCGATACGGGGGTATATTTCCAATCTGGTCAGATAATGTTCACATAACCTGAATTTAAAACCTTCATGGTAAAATAATATAAACAAACAAGGATTAGTGTAAAAATTACATTTTACATATTCTATTTATTAATTACTGTAATTAATTAATTGAGAAGGTTTTTTATTCCAGGAAAGCAATACGTAGCGATTAGTGCTGTAGTGGGAAAATACATATATTTTAATTAGTGTTATATAATAAAAAAGAGATTAATACTTAATTTTGCGATTGAATCGACATATTAATTGGTAGCACGAATCTATAATTCTTAAATGGGCGTTTTTAATTATGTTGCTGCACGAACACTATACAATATCTATATATGTGAATTGTTCATTTCCTAAATTACACAGATCAGTATAGGTGAGCAGATTAGCCGAATTTTGGAATCTATATTCTATAGGTATTATACTGATTTGCTAGAATTTCTAAAAAAAAATTGAAAATGAAAGGAATTTTTTAATTTTTGTAAAGTAAGTTTCTTGATAATAAATTGTCATGGAAATTATGCAAGGCTGAATGCTAATATTGCAGATTTATATCCAATAATTTTTGAAGAAACATATCCAGGAATTAATAAATTGGATTTCTTAGTATTTGGTGATTGGGGATATTAAGGATTTGACATTAGACAATCAGTTGTTGCGTCAGCTATGATAATCTGGGCAGATAACAATAATACTACATACATTCTTTCTCTTGGTGGTATTTTATCTGATCATTCAAAAAATTTCTTATTATGAGATCTTAACTATATAAAATTAAAAAAAAAACATAAATAAATATTTATATTATTTATATTGTTTGATAATTTTATACAAGTAATGAATCAGATCACGAAGGAGTTGATTCAATTTATGATCCTAAATGAAGTTCTAGTTGGCTTGATGTTTATGGTGGTAAATTAAAAGAACTTGTTTGGAATACCGTTGCTGGAAATCATGATTTGTTTGTTAAATCTTTTTCAAATTTTTCAAATTTTTAAATTTTTTTCTAAATTTTCTAATCGCATTATTTATCTCAGAAAAAAAAAAATTAGCATACTGTGACAGACAATTTCAACGTTATCAATAATAGGTATACAAACGTAACAGCAGAAGTTGACTACAAAGATTCTTCCTTCCATCATTTAATTACGTACGTATCGTAACATTCGGACCTAAAAACATTAAAGTATTATTTATTCATAACGACACAAATCCCTTCTACAGTATTACTTTTATGATAGTCTAACAGATGTTAATAACTTAAAAGCGACCTTGTTAGCATTAGGTTTACATACACCTGATGCAATTGTAACAAAGATAAAATAGGTTCAAGATTCTAAATGGATTTTGTTGTTGGACATCATCCCTTAATAGCTAGTAATTGTTCTTCTATTTATTATATGTCTAGATTACAACCTCTTTTTGAAAAATATAATGTGTCAGCTTATCTTGCCGGTCACCCTCATAAACTTTTTGAATATCAAGATGTTAATTCAACGTCTCATGTTGCCTATTTTACTACCGGAGTCGGTAGTCAAACCCAATTTGAAGGTTGTAATGGTGCTAGTTGGTTCATGCCTGGTGGTGGTGCTGAAGGGACCAGGGGGTTTTTACCAGCGTTGGCAGAATATGACATGGACAGCATGGACCAATGGACATGGACATTTATGGACTATGTCCATATTGTCCATATTTTTTTTGTTGGACATACAGTAGATGCTTAGTCCGGATAAAAATCGTATGCTTGATTATTCCAAAATATTCCGAATAGAAAGTCATTGAACGTAAAATACGAGCAACATTTCGAAGGATCTTGGCAATGAAGACATGAATGAACCATAAATTGATTACCTTTATTTCATGCAGGATATTGGGTAAATCCGTAAATCGCCCACTACGTCAGGATACTTTTTTTAAAAAAATTTTTTTGAAAATTGATCAATGTATATATACAAAAAATATGAACATGGACGTTATTTATTAGTCCATGTCCATATTGTCTATGTCCAAATAAAATTTTTATTGGACATAATCCAAATGTCAACACTGGTTTTTACATATTTGAATTTAAGAAGACGGTAAAAAGTTATGGTTTGAATTTATTAATTCTACTACTGCTGATAAACAGCCAGTTTCTGTTTACCAATCCTCGTGTTTTATCTCAAAATGTAAGTAATTCTTATAAAATCTTTCCATCTGGAACACTTTTGATGATTTTATTTGTTCTTATATTTTTTTGTCTTTATTTTATTTTTATGTCTCACACTTAAGTCTCAAATCATTTTTATGTAGATAGCCAACTGAATGATAAATTATTTTCGTTACCGCTTATTCTCATATTTATTTATTCATATAATTTGCATGATATGACGAATCAGAAGGATTTCGTTTTTATGCTAGAGTTGGTGGAATAATTGTATCATTTTTTTTACTTAATTCATTGCTAAAAACATTTAATACATATTTCGAAAGCTTCATTAAGGCAGAATTTATGAATGAAGAAGTTTGAAAAAACAGATTGATGCTGTTATTCTTTTTAGGGATCGTCTAAAGCCAGGTAGTGATTTATATGCCTCATGTGACTTTACAAATTTATTATCAACTTAAAAAACCACCTGGCTTTAGACGATTCCACTTTTTAGTGTTACTATTGTTTTGGGAGAGCTTATAGAACTATCGGCACAATTTAACTCCAATAGTTAACTTTATATGTTCTTTG